AAAGGTCATGCTTATAAAGTAATAATTTCCATTTCAAGTTTAAGTTTAGCAACTCAAGCTTTCCAACCTATTATTGTCGATCACTTTTTTATTAAACAAATAAAAATCAAGTCTTCCCTCAATAGGAGTTATATGGAATTCAACCTCCCATTTTATTAGCTCTTTAGCCAAACATTTCACTTCACAAAGAATGTTAAGAAGCTACAAGCAAAGCAAAGAATGTCTCCCAAGTATGGGACCCATTTTAGGAGGGGTGTAGATAAGGGATTTTGATTATAGGTAATTAATTAGTATCCAGATTAATTCATAACTATTTTCCCAGCATACCCTTAACACCAAAGCAAGAGGATCATGTTCCTATTGTTTTATAATTGAAGAACTACAACAAGTGAGATTATTATATTAAATTTTGGCTTGAAGTCAAAGAAACAAATAAATGGTCACGCTACTTCATTTTGTATAGCATTTGGAAAAGGTCATTTTTTCCTCCTAAATCGGTTTCAGAATTAGATTAGTAGTTTAGGTTTTTCATTCAAAATGAGACCTAAAACAAGCTTGTGTATTATGACATTGCAAATCCCACATCAAGATAAAAATATAAATAAAATTGATATAATTATAAATATCAATTATCACAAACTATTTGAGAATAAGCTTTTGGGGTTAGTTACAAAAATCTCAACTCAAAGACTATAACGAATTATATATATACATATATATTTGAATATGAGATGTTAGGGGGAGGGAGTGTTTTTCAAGTTTCTAGGTTTCTAACCTAAAGTCTCAAGCCCTTAAATCTAGAAAGTAAATCATTAGGACAAGTAACAGGGATTTGTTTGCAACTATAAAAGTTAATTTGGGCTCAATCACTTATATTTGGGTGTAAAAGCCCACAACTCTAATCTAATTTCTCTTGCTTAAGCTCCATATTTATAAGAACAACCTTTTAAGAGGTAACAAAAAAATAAAAATAAAAATAAAAAAGGATTTAAGGTAAAATTCATTCATTTCTTTGGCATATTCTAAAGACATATTACTATTCATTGCATTATTCAGCATCTTAATGCTAGTTATAAAGCAAGAGTGAAACAAACATTCAAAAAAGTCAAGAAAAAAAATGGAGGAAGAATAAACAAGCAAGAACCAACATTAGAAAGCATCATAGGAAAGCATAACAGCAAGAGAGAACTATTATTCTTTACAAACTTTTAATTAAAGAAATAAAAAGTAGTCTCCACTCGAGAAGTTGCATGGAGTTCATCCCTTCATTTTGTTTATCACCAATCATACCCACCTTCAATTTTAACTAAACAATTCTCTTAGAGATAAAGTATGCCCCATAGTGGGCATTTTCCTTTTTCAGCCATTGAGTTTTTTCTTGAATGGCCTTTTCCTTCCTACCCCACTCTTCCTAAAAGTATACCTTTAAACCTCCCTTGAATGCCCCATTACCAAAATCAACTTCAAAAAGGTTTATAAAACCATTAAAAACAATTAACTAGCTAATCATAAATCAAGGTTACCCTAATCTTTCTCCACTAATAAGAGTTGAACATGTCCTTAAATCTTCATAATGCTTGCTTTGAGTGGTTAATCATTGGGGTTTTCTCACAAGTATTATTCGTTTCAACAAGAGTGATTATCTTATTAATAAAGTAAAAGAAAAATGATTCGCACATAGTATTTTTTTTACAATAAAATCATATAATGTTAAGTAAAAGTAACTATGATCGACTCTCTTCCCTCGATAATCACATGAATTAGTGTGCATTCATTTTTTTAATATCATGTGTATCTATTGTATAATTTTAGTATAACAAAACGTATAATATTGTGCAATCAAAATTCAACTTAGTGTTTGCTGTTGTCTATAAGTTCCCTTGCGTGCATGCAATCCATTTATAGGTCCTAGTAAATGATTAATCATTACATATTTTAATTTTAGAAGTTTTGTTTATGTTTGGTGGAAATTCTCACCAATAACCTGTCATTTATTTTTAAGTTATTGTTGAACAACCTAGAAACTTATAATTAATCAAGCCTATTAACTAATTGTTGAAAACATAAAAGTAATAAGTCTCCATTCAACTTAATCATGAAACAACTAAACAACATATTGTAGAACTAGAAACTAAAGTTAAGTCTAATAGAGTCTCTTGATTAACTATTAAAAACTAAAATTAACCATGCAAGAATAAATTGTAAAATAGATTTTATGTAAGGTTTAAAATTTTAACTATTAAGGGCATCCATAAGAGGCAACACTATAATAAAATACGAAGTTGATATAATCTTATGTGTTATCCTAACAGAACAGAATTGACAATAATTTTAAAGTAAAGTAGTGCACATGGATTACATGGATATGAAATTGATTAATTTGTAATATTAAACTGACTTGATTAAAGTTAAAGACCTTAAAGCAAGAAATAATTTGGGAATCTGCTAGGAAGTTATAGCTCCATTTTGAAGGTTAATTTATATAAGAAAATGACAAATATCAATTTGTGGGAAATGCTCTCCAATAACATAGGGACAGCAAAGGTGGTAAGGTCCCAAACTTTGACCTTTGACAAGGATGTTTTATCCCTCTATGATTAGAGTGTATGCTTGAAGTTTTTATATACGTGTCTAATCCAATTCATCCTTTGTTGCTCAAAAGGCCTTGATTTTGGGTGACATTTACTAAAATATTGCCCTAAACCTCTTTCCTAAGTACCCAAAAAGATGCTTTGAATTAGAGGAATTTATTAGGCATCTTAAGGGCTTAATTCCAATGCTCCCATTACAATTATATTAGGGTTTGTTGAGATTTAGTGATTATACTTCGTATCTAGCTTGCAAGGACACCAAACATATGTCGTATATTTCATTGGTTGGGAAAAAATATTAAAAGATCAAAAAAGTGGAAAATGACGCTTTAAACTTTTAAACTTCTTTTTGTTGTTCTCAATTGATTTGATTTGAGGTACAAACTCACATTATATGAGATATTCAAATTTATAACTTTTAAAATTACATAGGCTAGAAGATGAAATGTGGGACTTTTGATGAAATTTGGGTACCTTCCTTGCCTCCTACTAAACCCAAAAGCTTCAAAGGTTCATATTGTCTTGTTCCTTGCCTTTCTTGGTCGGTGCAAATGACTTGGCTCTTTGCTTGTGCTGGTGCATGAATAGAAATTTTGGACACACACTCATACCATCCAAAAAGTCAATTCCTATTCCTGCTAATTTTTCATTTCTAGCTCCATGTACGTTAGGCATTTTCTTTACCTAACGAAAATGTTTTATCTAGATGTTATTGTGGCTTTGCCAAAAAATAAAAAATTGTTATTGCAACTACTCTGTACGGTCTTTCCTCTATTTCAAATATTTCTTGTTTAACCTTTAGTTATTATCTTTTATGTAAAGGGATAAAAAAAATCAAATTATGCTATGAAAATATTATTTAAAATCGTCTTACAAAAATAAAGATATTTCAATGCCAGTGAACTATTAGTATGGATAAAAAAATTTTGGTTTTTCTTAAATAAAATCTTAAATTTAAGTTTTATAAATAAAAAAAAATTTAAAAAGAATTTTCTTCTCACAAGATTCAATGTGATTTTATTTTAAATTAATCAAAATATAATATAAGTTTTAGATATTAGAAGTTCAGTATCAAAAATATATATATCAATTATTATTCATATGTTATAAACAAATATAAACAAATATATATATATGTAATACAGTGTAGATGATATATAAAAAATGCAATTCATTTTATAAAATTATTAAAATATATTTAACGAAATTTTTTATATTATTTTATTAATATTATTTTAATAAATTTATAAAATAAAATATATTTTTAATATATAACTCACCTTATAAAACACTTTTTTTAATTTAAATTTATGTATAAAAAATTTAATTTGACGTATAAAAATGAACACGAGAGAGAGAGTAATACTTTTCCTTAGAACAACAAAACTTACATGAAAATAACCACATTCTTTTTTTTTTTTTCCTTCATTTTTTATGTCAAAAAAGCCACATCCTTTACCTACACATCAAAACTACTTTATCCTATGCTTGTTCTGTCTTGACACCTTTGGCAATAGTTGATAAAATCAAGCCTTTTTCTTGAATTCAAATTGAGATTGGAAAATACGGTTTTTAGCCCCTACTGCATATTTTGTGAAAGTACTAATTGAAGATGTATTTGGCTTGAGAGGAACATAAAGAGACAATAAAAGGATAATTTTTAATTAATTAAATTATAATATCAATTAATGTTATAATTTAATTAATTAAAAGCATTCTTCCTCTCCTCTTATTTTCTTCAAACTAAATATATTCTCAATGAATCAATTTAAAGAAAGATTTCTTAAATATGCTGGGTTATTTTCGTAGTTTCAGAAAAAAAAAATCAACAAAAAAAAGTAATGATATGCAAATAACTTCTTTTACAATTTTTTTATATAATTTTATATGTTATTAAATAAATAGATACATGTAATATTATAAATCTCAATAAAATAAAATAAAAAGCTAATCATTGGATAATATATAAAGAAAAGTGCATATTAATCTTGATTTTCAAAATAAATTAGAATTTTAATTTTAAATTATTTTATTTTATTTAATAAAAACTTAATTCAAAATTTAAAATTTTATTTTATTAAATGTTAATATTTATATTTAATAATTTTTAAATTTAAATATCAATATTTAATAAATAAATTTTTAAATTTTAATTTTTTTTAAATTAAGATTAATATGCATTAATATCAATATATAAAATTATATGAAAACGTTAAAAAAAAGGAAGAAAAACTGATTCTCATTTTTTATTTTTTTATTTTTAAAAAGGGGCAAACCGAAAGAGGCCTAAATGCGCCGGAGGGACCGTTAGCGTTAACTAGCCGGCGCCAAATATTCGTTTGTGCTTCTCCCCTTCCTAATAAAACCCAAACTTGCCCATTTTCTCTTTTTAAAACCCAGACTCCTTCCCTCTCCTCTCCTCTCCTTCCTCAATTTCACTCACTTCTGGACCTTCTACCGCTCTACCATGGTGGAGAGTGGCTTCTCTTCTCCTCGAGCTGACGTCTTTCCTGCTGGCCTTCGTGTTCTCGTCGTTGATGACGATCCAACCTGGTTGAAGATTCTGGAAAAGATGCTCAAAAAGTGTTCTTATGAAGGTTTAACTTAACCAACTTTACTTTTTCACTCTTCTTTACATGCTCTGCTTATTGGGTTTTTTTCTATCTAGCAAATGGGATTTTGTTAACATGGCTCTTCACAGAACTTTGTTCATGGGTTTTATTTGTTTCTTTCTTTCTTTTGTTGTTTTTGTTTTGTGGGGTAGCCTATTTTATGATTGATAAGAGGGTGTGAACTGTCAAGTTCAAACTTTATTCATTATTTTCAGTGATTGAGTAATTAAGCATACAAATAAGCGTCTTTAAATGGACGGGTTTCAAGATGTGCAAGATTGTGTCTTGAGGTTGATCATCATGGGTTCATATCATTAAGAATGTTAGAAAAGTACTAGCAATCATGAGGAGTATTTGGTTCACTTGATGAATTTTGATCTTGGGTATGGAAAGAATTAATTTTAGAGCATGTTTATGCTGAACCTGTATTGCTATGAGTCCTATGTTATTTTTAGATTTTGTTAACATTTGTCTTAAAATGTGATTTAAACAATTTTTTGACACAGAGACATGGGTGAACATTTATCTTGATTGGTGCAATTTTATAAGCATTTCTGCCTTCTTGATTTTTTGGCATAAAGATGCTTTATGAGGCTGTTTCTAAATATGAGATGTTTGGTTTTTGTTTTGTATCAATTGTACAATATCATTTTTTTGGTCTTATTGGGCTGCCAAAAACAAACATGTGTTACTTAAGTTGCCAAGCTCGTAAGAGTAGCTTCCACTGCTAATTCTTGTTAGGATAAGTTTCAATGTAAAAGCCGCATTATGTAAAGGCCAGCCAGTTAACATAATGAAATTTCAATAGAAGCTTCTGGTCAAGTTTGAAGTTAAGGGACAGAGAAATTTTAAGATATGAAAACATCGCTATGATCTTTTCTGCTATTTAAGAAATGGCATAACCTTTACCGTCTAGGGTCTGAAATGATTAATGAAAAACACAACCTTGAGAAGGTGCTGGATCTCTATTTTAAGAGACTAAGTCATTTAAGTAACTTCACCAGGTTTTTGAAAAGTTTTCCTTATTTTTCTTTCTCTATATCAAAAAATAGATTCTGGTTCAGATAAGGCTTCCTTCAAATTTATCTTGTTGATTTGAATTATGAGTAATAATGAAGAATTAAGTGAACCTTTGTAATTTAGAAATGTCTTCTAATGCTATTAGTACAATCAGTGGTTGATTTTGCACATAATTGTTTGACTCATTAGGAAGCTTGAAGCTCGACAATAACCAAGCCTACTACATCAACCTTGAAAGTAGAAAATGCTTGAGATTAGCCAAAGCTTCATTTGTGTGAGTATCCTAGATTTAACAGGTCAAAGGCTTACCTGGCTAGGTTGGTTCAGAGGGTATTCTTCTATGTGCATTTTAGTCCTGAGTGCTGAAGAACTTCTATTGACTGTTTTTCCTAGTCTTGTAGCACTCTTGTGAAAGTCTGTTAATTATTAAAGAAGCCTGTCTTTGCTGTCATTTGTTGCCCTAATGTTATCTGCCTTTTATGCATGATGTGATTCACACTAATGAAGCTTCTTATTGATCTGGATACGGTTGTTGATTCCAAAATTCAAAAAAAAATAATAATAATAATATTGATCTTTCTGTAATTTCTGCAAGTAAAAACTGAAACTCAATTCAAGAATGGTGCATCTGATTTTTCATGTCCTATGGTAGCTGTTCTTTGCTGGATATATTTGTTAGATGACCTCTGTTTGGCGACTATATGTTCAGCTCTGGAACCCACTCTTTTGTTCATTTTCATGTTCATTTATGTTGCTTCTTCTGTGTTTCAGTGACAACTTGTTGTTTGGCAAGAGATGCACTAAACAAGCTTCGTGAAAAGAAAGATGGATTTGACATCGTGATCAGCGATGTCAACATGCCTGACATGGATGGATTTAAACTTCTAGAGCATGTTGGACTGGAAATGGATCTTCCTGTGATTAGTAAGTTTTCTGTTGGTAACATATGGATCTTCTTTTCAATGTTGAAATCTGATTCTTTTTAAATTAAGCCAACTTCTGACAAGTTGCAGTTGTTCAATCCCAGTGATGTCTGTTGATGGAGAAACAAGTAGGGTCATGAAAGGCGTTCAGCATGGAGCATGTGATTACCTTCTTAAGCCTATAAGAATGAAAGAGCTTCGCAACATATGGCAGCATGTATTCAGAAAAAGGATACATGAAGTGAGAGACATAGAAAGTCTGGAAGGACTAGAAATTATTCACATGACAAGAAGTGGTTCAGATCTGTCTGATGATGGGAGCCTCTTTAGTGAAGATACAACTTCAGCAAAGAAAAGAAAAGATGCAGAAAGCAAGCATGATGGCAAGGACTTCACAGATCTTTCATCTACCAAGAAAGCAAGAGTTGTTTGGTCAGTCGACCTTCATCAAAAGTTTGTCAAAGCTGTTAATCAGATTGGATTTGATAGTAAGTAATATGATAATTCTTTTTCACTCTATTTAATCCCTGCATCATCATCAACCAGTGATATGTCCTTCAAAAAAACTTCAAAATTTTCCTTTTATCTTATGAAGTTTCCATTGAGCTACCTTTTTATACCATTCCTCTGTAGTGACATGATATTTGATGTCTGTTTGGCAGAAGTTGGTCCTAAGAAAATTCTTGACTTGATGAACGTACCATGGTTGTCTAGAGAAAATGTTGCTAGCCACTTGCAGGTAGACCTCACTTTTTTGTCTTGCTTATTATATTCACTATAGTTGTTACTTATGTGGCCTTATCTCCGTATGTTTATAAACTTGATAAGTGCAAACTTGTTTACTACCAGAGCAATTGATCAACTTTCATTTCTAAAGATGTCTCAAGAAGAATTTGTTAAAGATTAATAGGGAATTTCCTAGTTGCTTAAACATTTTGGTAGTGCAGAATCAGCTATGCGGATTATTATTGATTGAATTTGCGTTATGAATTTTAAATTATTTGAAAGGGATAGAAAGAAGTGATATATATTATCAATTATTTAATTATCATCCTGACTCATTGAGAAAATTTTTCTTATGCAGAAATACCGCCTCTATTTGAGTAGGTTGCAGAAGGAAAATGATACAAAAAATTCTTTCCTTGGCACAAAGCATGCAGATTCACCTCCAAAAGATTCTGCAGGAAGTTTTGGGCTTAAGAATTCAACAAACATTCACCAGAACGATGTTTCTTGTGGAAGTTATGGTTTTCCGGTTAGTAACTCACTTGTCCAGAACATTGATATCAGTGGCCATGAAGGTGACCAAAAGGGAACTGCTTCAGTGCCTGGGGCAGATACAAAAGGAGCTTTGTCTGTAGATGTTCCTGGTCCTCATAAAGCCACATGTTCACAGATGTGCTTTGATCGTTCCTTTGCACCAATTGATTCTGCCCTGAGCTATGCATCATTCGATTCTACTATCCCAACAGGGTACCCTTGGAGTGGAATTCCTGAGATTCAGTTCAGCCAAGAAGGCAAACCGCTTGATTTGGACAACTGCTTCAACCAACTACCACTGCCCAGTCCACAGCGCCACAGTCAAACAGAATATCGCCAACCTCCTCCACCCATCAGTTCTAGACCTTCCATAACTGAAAGAGATGTAAGTACAAGCGTTGATGTCAAACCTTCATTTGACGACTGCAGAGGCAACTGCATCAACCACTACAATCCATTTCCTGTTCAAAAGAGCCAAACACTCACCAGTCAAGGTTTTGAGTCCATTTCTGCTACTACATTAAACATGAAAGGTCAGGGCGTCAGTCTGAATTGCCTCACTGATTGGGAACCCGTGCAGAAAAACGTAAATTGGGGAATTGGGGCACCTTTTGCACCTCTGGATGAGGACTTACAAGTCTATTGGCTTCAAGGTGATTGTTATGCTATGAATCTTGGTCTCCAGAACTTAGATTTTATAGATTACAATGACCCAACACTCTTTACCGAAGTTCCTTCTCTCTTTTATGATGCATTGAGGTTCGACCACGAGCCTCTCTTTGACCCAGCAGAATCTTCCGTAATAGACCAAGGTTTGTTTATAGCATGAAGTTGCTGTGTTATCTTATCACATGAAGGATCCTTTCCTATTTTAGCTAAACCTACCTATTAAACGGGTATTTTAACTGTATTAGAGTATTAGGGATGTAATTTTCCCACTCGGTATGGAGTTGGATGTTGAAACATGTATGTTAAAAGTGGTGATAAACATTGAGCATAATAACTCAAGCTTGTTCGAGTTTTTAACATGGCACATGCATCTCTCAATGTTGTATAAATTTTCATGCTGTGAACATTGGTATAGGTATATATGTTGTGCAACCGTGGATGTAAATAGCTGCTGAGTGCTCATATTTGTAAAGGATTAGAGAGAAGAAAAATGGAGAAAAATCCCATCTGCTGAGAAGCAGCAGTCTTGTAGGTAGCTGATTCAAAATTTCTAATCTCATTACTTGCAGTAAATTGCCTCTTTGTCTTGCTCTTCAACAATTACAAGCTCTCTGCTGATATCAAAATCCTAAATATGAATCCTTTCTTCCCTTACAATATTTTTTCGCCTCACTGATTGTAATTACAAAGAAATTGTGGAAAAACATTCTTAAGTCAATGATTAACCGATTGTCTTACATGCCCTTGCCTGTGGGAAGTACTGTCATTGACAACTGAAGGCTGGATGTTTGGAGAAGCATTCTCATGTCTGCTCTTTGCAAGTGAGTTCATCGTCACATAACAAGTTGTTCTGTTATTTTTCTGTATAACACCATTGGAACTTGTGGTATTGATGGAAGGCCTCAGAGGCAGCCTAGAGCTTGCATGCGGCACACTTTTGGGAGATGACTTCCTTCCAAGTTTTGGTGATTGAGGCCGTATCAAAGGGATCTGCAAGGAATGATTCACCAGTCATTTTAAAGCACCAATAGCAGAAGCATCTAGGGATTCTTACTAGAAAATGGGCCCATTTGTCTACCCAGCCATATGAATATAGGAATTTTACACCTTAGAAGGATCTAGACAATGCTCCAGTAGGGAAAGTCAATAAAAGAGGGTCAAAGAGGGAATTTAAGATAAGATATGCTAATCTAACTATTTTAATTCCACTCTTATGGCATTCAGTGCATAGAGATTTTAAACTGAAAGGTCAGCATATCCAAGAAACGTAAAACTAATGCCAGCATCCAAAAAGAAACATGCTAAGATAGATGTAAGAGTAAGAACCTTCTTCATGTAATTACTTGGAGACACTGATCCAAGTAAATTACTTCATAACATTTTAATGAGGCCATGTAAGTTATACCTTTGATCGAGTTGGCATTTGCACTTTTTCTACCTCCTTTGAATTGAGTTTTTCTTCAAGCTTCTGAAAGAACTGGCATGGTGTAAACAAAGGAAATGTTATTAAAGGCTTGACATAATTAATTGCAAATCATGACAGTCTAAAGAGTTGAACCAAAATAAGAAAAAAGAGTAATAATAATCATGCCTCTTTTCTTTTTGCTGCCCTTTCTTCACTCCTAAAGCTAAATGGCCGTGCTCTGGTTCCACTGGGGTTTGAAGATTCTGAACAGCTGCCATGCATTGATATAATTAAGAATTTCCAATAAGAGAAATGATGTGTTTTTATGAAAGGGAAATCAGGGGATTAAATGAGGCAAGCTAAACCATACACGTTGTGCAACGCACAGCCAGAATAACTAGGTTCTGAAAAACAAATGTTTAGATTTATCCATCCTAAAAATTATCTTATTGAGTAATGTATTGATTGGCCAAAAAAAATGCTTTGTATCATGCCAATGAAATGTTGAATAAAAACCTTCAAGCCAAATGGTGCTATGGCAAAAGACATTTTAGATAAGAAAAGTACCATCTATCATCTGACGGAAGAACTTTTGAAGGATGCTTTGATTCCGCATTAACAGATGCCTGCAGTTGGTACATGAAACCTGTCATGTCATTGTGTTTAACCCATACTCTAGACTATATATCATTCTAAGAGCCAGAACAGCATGTCTGGTGCCATTGCTCCCAAATATTAATTACCCTCGAAAATGATTTGCAACTACAAACACACAGTTGAATTATCATTTTTAAAAAAGCTGTTAATAGATCCGTGAACTTCCAATGCAGAAATCAATTAAAAAATATATATTATATGCTCTCAGATAACAGGCAAATGGCAGAAACATAGCAAGTTCTATACATACTATGTTAGTGTATGTGTATTTAAGAAGAATAACAGATCAATATTAATAAGGTAACAAGAGGAGTAGTACCTTGGTAGGAGCTGGTAGTGGTGCTGAAAGGTCCCTGGGCATTGTGGGTGATGTTTTACTTGTTTCATTAGCAAAAGAAGCAAAATTTATTGACCTTTGGAGGGATTTTGAAATCATTCTCTCTGTGTTGTTTGAATCTCCAGCAGACTTCTTATTAATGAAAGCATCACTGTTTCCTATTCTGGTGGTTGCTTGTCTGGCAGGTGGTAATTGAAGCTTGGATGTACCACCAAGAGTTGATGACTTTGATTTGGGATTTGAGTGCCTTTTATGGCTTAATAACACCAAATTCTCCTTACCAGCAGCTCTCTGCAGAATCCTGGTTGGTTTTTGTTGAGAAGTTGAACCATCTTTTGCCATTTTGAGTGATCTTTTACTAGTTCCTCCATTGCTAGAAGCGACATTGATTGACATGTCTAGCAAATTTGGAATTCTTCTCTTTTTCTCATTTGAGTCTTTTGCAGCCTTCCTACTGCCCAAAGCAGCATTACTATTATCATTACCATTCCTGGCTTGTACAGAAGTGGTCGGTTTGGAAGGACATAATGGAAGTGGGGATGCTTTGCTGTTACTTGATGACTTTGATGAAGAACTTGTTCTTCTTTTCTTGCTTAATGAGGATGAGTTATCAGCAGATTCCTGCAGTGTCATTAACAGCTATAAAGGCAGTAACATATATCTTGACATAGGACAGAAAGGAAACAAAACACCAGCTGCAAATACCTTATGGACCATCTTCTTGTCTGGTTTTGCCAAAACCATGTTTTCCTTGCCTGCATTTTCTTCATGTTTTGATTTTTCAACCTGGATGAGATTCTGTTCATTGAGATTCTGTTCTGTTACTGCTTGACATTCCAAGTTGGCAAGGTTATCTCTTTCAACATTTGGATTGCATTCACTAGCATCACCACTATCAGCTACCTCATTCTCAGGGACATTAGTATCCTGCTTCTTAGCAATTGCCAGAGGGATATTAGCATTTGCTGAAGCTGTCTTTGAAGAATCATTTGGAATTGCATTTGTGGTTCGCATTTGAAAGGAAACACTGGCAGCCAGCTTTGCTTCCTCTGCCCAGGTTGCTTCTCTCATTGCAGCCCTTTTCTTGAAATGAGCTTCAAAAAAGGCTTTCTTCTCAGCAACAGTACCTGGCTTCGCAAACTGTTCAGCTTCTTCCAAGTAACGATTGTGAGAAAATGTGGAAAATTTCTCCCAAGCCAGAGATTCTGACATAAATCTACCAAAAGATACTGATTCTTTAAGAGCATGAATTGGGTCACCCTGCCATTTGACATTACTCTTTACGCTTCCTGACTAAAGTATTCAAAGATGAAGTACTAAATTTGGTGCTTTCACACAAAAATCATCTCAATAAATACAAAACATGAGAATTTTCTTAATTAAAAAACCAACAATTATTCATCAAGCAAAAACCCCAAGTTTCGAGCAGTTGTAATTTTAATAACTGTGAATACATCAGAAAGGAGACCCAGAACTTGCAATCTTTAAAAGCAATGCATGATGAATCAATGGAGTTTGCAAAAGAAAAGAAGCATACAATCATACAAATAATATCAAACCCTAATTAATGGGGAAAAATTCAGTCTTTTGAGAAATTGAAGAACAGGAGTTTCTTAAAAGCAGATTCCTTTATTGACATTTTAACTTACTTTCTCTCCATTTAATCTCACACAGCATCATCAAAGGGAACCATTAAAAGTCCAAGCAATACTAATATGCTTTTGTTGTTTGGTCACTGAGAAACTGAAGGAAGAGCATTATTAAAAACCTCAATATGATCCTAAAAAGAATGCTTGACCCATTAATAAAAACATCTGAATCAACATACCCACTAAAAATTTCAAAGAAAACAAAGACACCCAAAAACTGAAATTCAGAAAATTGAACAAATTTACTACAAATGCTTCAAAACCTGACCTGTGTGCGGGAGGCATCAGAAGGATGAGAAAACGATCTTACAAGACAAGCAGCTTCACCCATGTCCACCAAAACGGCAAAATCCAACTCTTTCTCCAAGAAAAAACCTGGCTTTATATACCAACTTGCTCACCCTCACTGTTCCACTTCGAAATTCAAAACGCAGGCGCTATCTGGCTCTTGGGTCCAGAAATGGGAGATAAATGTGTGCAGGAAAACAAAAGCTCTCCCCTTTGAAACGTTTTTGTTTGCCTTTAAAGCCTACTATTATGTTTTTTATAGCAACGGCTCCTTCTTCTCCTTTCCTTATCAGCACATGAATTATGGACAACAAAAAATGAAAGTGTGCATGAATCTTAGTCCTATTAATATGTCTGTAAAAGAAGTTGACATATTTATGTGATTGATTTGAATCTGATGGGTCGGGTGTTAAGAGTTCCAACGTCTAAATTTTTGGGTTTATAGTTTAGATTAAGAGATAAAAGGATACGATTCTTTTATTTATATATATATATATATCATCTACTCTGAAAAACATGTGTTAAGGATAAAAATATATATTAAAAGGTATATTTATTAATTTTTTATAATTAATTTATATAAAAAATATAAATATTAATTTTAATTTAATTAATTGATTAATTAAAATTATTTAAATGATAATAATATTAAAATAAATTATGTATTTATTACATTCTTAAGAACATAAATTAAATTAATTTTTTATTTAAAGATACAAACTTTGTCATTTGTAAATAAAGTGATAATCTTTAATTTTTTCTATTTTAATATCAAATTTTATAGTTTTATTTAAAAATTAATTAAATAATGATGCTAATATGATCAATGATTGTTTTAACTTTTAAGTATTTAATTAATTTTTAAATAAAAAAATACAAAATTAACATTTTTATATAAAAAATGTTAAAAGTTTATCATTTTATTTATAAATCAACAAAGTTTTCATCTTTAAATAAAAAATAACAAATTGTCTATCCTTATATGTACATTTTCTCCAAATTTGCAAGATCAACCATTACTTTATTTAGCTTCTAATTTGAATTTTGAACCAAAAACGACAAAAGAAGAAAGG